ATATACATACATACATACATATAGTATTTAAATTCAAGCTTGGTTCTGATTATTTTTCTCACCTGCTGCATATGTTCTTCTCCAAATGTTTGATGACTTTCAGTCCCGGAGGTTTGGTAAATTTTTAATCATCTGAAGGCTCTCGAGTGAAGCTGTTCAGCCAGAAACAGGTCGTTCTGTACTGAAACCCACCACCATCAGCTGTTTAAATATCCAGGACACTCCCCCGTTTGACCTCTGCTTCACACACATGAAAAGAAAAGACTGACTTTTATTTGTAATAAAAAAGAGTCTCAAGAGTATTAGTACACCTCTTTTAGTCCTAAGGTTTTCACAATTAAGAATACTATATAAAACAATCTACATTTGGTCTTGTGTCAGGTCTTAAAGACAAGCGGAGGTGCATTAAACTGCCTCATTGTTTATTTTATCAAAATGCAGAAAAAGGTGGTAAACCACAAACCTTCAGGGTCAATGTCCTCGGAACAAATGGGACCAAGATGAAGGACAGAATCTTGTTTGAAGAAAACCAAAACAGCATAAATGCAAAAACACCTCATAACAACTGTCAAGCACGGTGGTGGAGGGGTCATAATATGGGCTTGATTTACAGTCAGAGGACCTGAGTACCCTTCAATCTATAAGTTGACTCTTAACTTCTTTGTGTATTAAAATACTCTTAGGTCAAATGTGGGTCCTTTTGTCCATCAGCTGAATGATCCAAAGGAGGTTGAACAGTCCAGAATGACTGGGGGAAGAACAAAAATAAAAGTTTAAATTTCAAACCTCAGCTCATCAACAATGCTGTTGTGGGAAAGATAAAATAATATAATAAAACATAATAAATAAAATAATACTTGTACGTGAAATAGAACCTCGATAAGCCAGAAATTCAACAGCTGAGTGGATCTAAATTCCTCCACTATATTGTGACTTAACAGCTCGAACAGATTTCCTGGCTGTTATTTCAGCTTTGTAAATTAAAAAAAAAAAGACTGGATGGCTAAGTCTCCTCCAGACCATAAAGGCATCAACAGATTTAAAACAAACAAAAAACTTTATTGAGTTAATTAATGTTCTAGAAGCAACAACATGGAGTGGATCTTAATGAAAACTCTTTATCCACTTAAGGAGAGCAATATCAGTCAGATTTGTGTAGGCTCTACTCCTGTGGACAGAGAAGCTGCTCTTGTGTACCTTAACCCTCTCCATGCTCTGTACTTGCAGATAATCCACCTCTACGCAGAGGTTCGTCTTTGCATTTCCAGTCAGGAGCAATGATTTCACTGCAAGTTGTTTTGAGCATTTTAAACCTTTCTCCAAAGCCAGACAAAATTATACGACAATTGTGCAAGCTTGACAAATACAGTGCTGGCCCCTCGGGTTTCTTACACGAGTACCGTTTCAGAATTAAACTTAAAAATTTGGAATTTTCAGGCCATTTTTGTGTAAACATGTTTCGTAAACATACAACACAGACCTTACACAGAAGAAACCCATTCAACACTTGCTCTTGTCAAGGGCGTCCTGTCTGTGAAACTGCTTTAGAGGCTTTCTTCTGCATATCTTCCAAATCATAATTCTGCTATGGATTTGATCAGCTGGTCCCACAACGTAATTGATAACATTTCTTCAACAAGAAGACGGGTTTTAGGCGAGCCGACTTGCCCTGATGGCACACATGCAGCTGGATATGTCATCGACTTAGATGGTGATATGTCTATCTCTGCTGTCAATCGAGGATGTTAAGGATGCATATATAATTGGATTTATGATAAGTGGTTTCCTGCTTTTTGGAATCTGCTGGTTCCTGGTCTATCAACAAACAAAGGAAGTTGTCGGCAGAAAATTTGGCCCTGGTCAGGCTGCCTGCCTTATGTGATGGCTTGGTTCATGCCTCGAGCACCCGGACTCAATTGCTTTGCGAACTAGGATTCGCTGGCAGGATGACTCAGACTTCGGGGCATACTCTCAGGCACGGACCAGTGGTGTGGCCACTTAATTTGGACATTTCGGAACCGAGAGGACCGACACGGACTCAATATAGACATAATCGGTAAAGTTCTGCCTGTCCCCAAAACAAACTTGTTTATCTGAATTCGGCTCAGACTGGCCTTGACAGGCTGGAGGCTCTGCCCCCTCCCCTCTCCCACCAAGGAAGTCTATAGACCAGAGGGGCCACGGCTGAATAAACATTGTCATCATATCAGGACTCTTTGGATTCTATCTGACGCTATCCTTGGCTGACTTTGGCACCCCTCAAGAGTTTTTATGGATTTCTCCAGAGGTGAACTCCAGAAGGAACTGAGTGATTATACCACACTCATCTGAACTCTTACAGTGCCTCTGCGAGTGTCCTTGGACACGCTCACTGCCCTTGCGTCTCCCCCCCTCCCCTGTAGGCCTCACTAGTAAATGAGTCTTCGAGGCTCAAGGTGATTAATATGTATAAATAAAGGTTGAATGAAATCACTCCTGGAAATGACCGGTTTTCTGAGGACCCAAGTGAAAAATGTAGTTCTTTAATACTTTAGGTTAATACCTGTTCCAGATCAAAGTAAAATAAAAGCTTATACTTGAGAGCTGGACAAATGTGTGACAAACAGCAATTAAAAAGCACACGTTTAAACTTATTTTGGTTCATAAAGTATTTTAGTGTGATCTACGATAACTGACCTTTTTGTATTATTAAAAATGATAAAAACAAAATAAAATAAATTTTAGAAATCCAAGTGTGTATGTTTTGTAAAAGGGGAACATCTGAAAATGTTTTTCTTGTTTTCCTTACTTCAGAAAGACTAGTTTCATTCTTATTTAACAGGCTCTTGTGTCCAAATAACAAAGACGGCTAAACCCAAGACGACCAGACCAGGAATTTATTGAGCTCAAATTGTAAAAAGATGTTGATCACCAGAGTCTACAGACCTGAAATAAATTCTTCTGATACAACAAATATATCAGGATTTTAAAGAGACAAAGCCTGTTCTCTCAGAGTTTAATAACTGAGTTGAAACTAATTAACCATGATCTCATGTGGCAGGAACCCTAAAACTTGCTCAATGTCTACAAACTGATCACATTTCTTTATCCACCCACCAAAACACCTCAATATCCATACTTTAGGACTATAATCATTAAAAAGTAACTACGAGTTGTCTGTGAACTATATTTAGTGAAGTAAATGCGCTTTCAAACACCCTCTGGCATGTACAGATATATATTTTTTTTTTAAAAACACGTCACCATTTCATTTAGTAATTAAAAAATTTGTTTTAATAAATTAAATGTGAATCACATTATGCTGCAAAGAAAACAAGATCTTGATGCAGTTGTGGCTGAAACAAGTCCTTCAATTACATGACGACGATTTAATCTATAGATTGTGGGCTTCTGATTGTCAACTGCCCACGAGCTGATCCTGCTTCCTGCATTAAAGCAAGACGAAACGATGACAAAAAAAGAAAAGTTTGCGCAGACAAATTCCTCACTTTAGGCAATACCATAATAAACAAGTAATGCTTAATATATATTTTTAAACTCATTGAGTTCAGTGATTCATACCAGAAAATAATCTGCAGCAAAACAAGGAATCTAGGATTCTTTCATGTGTCGCTCTGTCTGCACACATTCCCACCAACATGCACGTTAACCACGATCTCTAGAAAACTGGGAGGGTTTTGTTTTCCCTCCACATCTCTCGTGGTGGCCTACCCTGTGTCTCACTTCACTCAAGTCAAAAACAGATCACATGCAGAGGCTCGGTACTCAGAGTATCAGCCGTTCCACACAGGAGCAGACAAATCAAGAGGTCATTTATTTCAATGTTGATTCTGGCTTCCAGCTGCAACGGGGGAGGAAACCACAACGCGCAGGTGACACAGTGGCTTCTGTCAGTAAATCAGACAGTCAGGATTCCCAGAGGATAACTGGGAAATCTACATGGATGCACGGGTTGTCCAGCTTTATAATTCCCTGGAATTCAAAGAAATGTTGATTAACTAGAGAACTAGTGTTGATAAGTTTTTCTTTTCTTAAAGACTGGTTTTCTCACCTGAGGCGTTAAATTTTTCTGAATTCTTTTCAGCTTGGCTTTTTTACGTCCATTCTTTGTCACGATTGTCTCCTCGTAGAACTCGTGGGCCAAGTCGCCATCTTCATCAAAATACAAGGAGCTGCAGCATGAATAAATAAAATAAAAAAAACAAAAACAACTTCAATGCAAATCTTGTTCATGGGGGAAACAATGTTCAGTCAGGTCATCTGGATGTTTTTTTTTCTTTCCCCAAGACGTTTTGTCCTTCATCCAAAGGACTTATTCAGTCGGAGGAGCCAACAAACAAACTGATTGTCAAAAACGGCATACACCATAGTGGAAAAAACAGTTTGCTGGTGTTCGGGCTGCTGCTGTTATGCCGTATTGTTTTGCATTATTAGTGTTTTGTGTATGACTTAGATCTTTTAGCGTACCGTTTGATGTTCGTTTAGCTAGCATATATGTTAGTTTCTATCTTAGATCCTTATTTACCGTTTCTTTTTACACTTTATATTTTCGCTATTGTTGCATGTAACTGGGACCCTGTGTACATAATTTCGTTCCACCTCATGTACCACATGTGACGAAATGACAATAAACCTACTTGAACTAAGATGGCCTCCGCTCCGGGGCCCGCCCTCTCCCCTGTCAACTCCTCTGAGACAGTCATGCCAAAGCGACTCAAAACACCAAAGTTCATGCTCAATAATCCAGGTGAAAATCCAACAATGTTCAGTCCGGTCATCTGCACAGTTTCTTTTTTAGGTTGAGATGTTTCGTCCTTCATCCAAAGGACTTATTCAATCTGCCTCAGATTGAAGAAGTCCTCTGGATTAAGGACACAATTTATCAGCAAACAAACAAACAAAAAGAAAATAAACTATCCAGATGACCTGACTGAATGTTGTTGGATTTTTACCTGGATTATTGAGCATGACCTTTGGTGTTTTGAATCACTTTGGCATGACTGTCTCAGAGGAGTTGACGGGGGAGAGGGCGGGTCCCGGAGGCCATCTTAGAATCAGAAAACTGATTTTATCCACTATGGAGTATGCTGTTTGTGGGAATCAGTTTGTTTGGTGGCTCCTCAGATTGAATAAGTCCTTTGGATGAAGGATGAAATATCTCAGCACAGCAGGAAAAAAGTTAGAAAGAATATTCAGAGACACGTTACCATAAACTGTACATAATACATTAAGAGCCTAAAGAAAGCCAGTAAATAAGAAAATGTTGGATTTATGCAAACTTGGGTATATGTCTCCAAGACAAGAAGCTGGGATGAATTAGGTAATATCAGCTTCTTTTTTTTTTTTTTAAGTAGAAACGACATTCTTAGTTTTAGATTTGTCAACAATCTTAATTTATTAAATTGTCAATAAGATCGTATGACTAGATGATAAAGTGTCAGCGGGTTGTTACATGTGGTAGAAACAAATCTTTCAGCAGCAACAACTGGTCACTGTATATATATGAGGGTGCTACAGCTAGAGTGAAACATAACCCACTTTTAAATCTTGGCATTATCTCAATTTTTCAAACCGAGAATAAAAAAGTACTTAAGCGTCAACACCGTGGGAATATCTCTATTTATTCTGATTTGAGGGTCACAGGTTTATGATATCAACAATATATGACCCTGTTATATTTCATGCTAACATACAAAGTCTATATTTACCTTCGTCTGGTAAACACAAAAGGCGTTGCACCAGGAAAACTCCGAGTTCTCGTCAGCGGCTGCTCGTTCCCATCTTTGGCTGGATCGTCCCCAGTACCTGAGCCAGAAAAAGGCCAAAATCCTTTGGATTTGGAGCCACTACCCCCCATCTTCAGCTATAGCACATTATTTTGCTGAATCACACAGCGTCCAGTGGTGATACAGTGTTACTGTACGGGGAAAATTGTGACTCTCTGAGAAGGATACCTAGGGAAAAAGAGGGACATAAAGGGGGGAATTCTGTCATTTCATGCAGTCAAGTCAATCAAACAGCCACGACCATTTTCTAAAGCAAACCTTGTACGACAAAATACTTTTAGACCAGAAATATCTGAAGGTTGATGGTTTAATACTCAATATGTTCCTGTGTTATGAAGACCTTATAAAAGACACTGAATTCACACATTGTCCCCCAAAATACAAAATGGAGCTTTGTAGAGGAAAAAAGTGCTGCATAAAAACAAATAATGATAAATACATACAGACGAAAATTTTTTTTTGTTGTAAATCGACTACTGTCTGCCCTGATTTCTAAAAATTGGAATGAGCCGTAGAAAAACTCAATGGGTCAACTTCTGCACACCAATATGGAAAGAAAACAGCAAAACATTTTTTTAAATTATATTAAACTGTTGTTTTAATAACTGTTTTAAATTTTTTTTTGGGGGGGGGGGGGGGTTGCAACTAGAGAACATTGATAATATTTAATTATTTATAACGCTGCATTCTGAAATTTAGTGGAATTTCTTTGCCTTGTTCAAGTTTCCTTAATATAGAAATTATTCTAACTTAAGACCTACGCCCAAAAAAAGAACAAGAAGGGCACATATTGTTCATTTATGATCTCAGATCCTTTTTTTTTTTAAGCCAAAAAACGTTCAGGCCGACTGTGCCTGAAGGTAAAGAAATCGCAAGGTGTTTTGCAACACCTAGTCTTGAACCCTAGTCTCTGTCAACATCCTCCTCATGGATCTGGACACAGACAGGAGGAGGTCATTACAATCTGAGGCATGTGTCCAAGAAATGTTAGGAAATCCCAGGCCAGAGTCGACACAGTTAAATCCCACAAATAATGCCACATTTCGGAACACGCACATCTTTATTTGTCATGACATGCAAGCAAGTTCAAGTCTACTATGGTATTAAATAAATAACACGAAAACGTGCAGTTTATCTCTCCAGACTTAGTAGCGTTGACGAAGCAACTTTTGTTAGCTTGTCTGATATCCGACAACAGCAGTAAAACTTTGCTCCTGCGGACATTATTTACAGACACTTTATGTTCCCTTATAAGCTGGCTGCTTGTTTAAATAGAGAAAAAAGCCCCCAGCTACTAGAACAGCCAGGTCAGGACGATTTAAAAAAAAAAAAGCGTTTTCTTACACGTTGACAAAGGCTAACACAGGCAAGTCGGCTAGCGAAATTTTACAGCCTCGTTCTGAATTCTCAATAATTAAACCCACCTAAAGTAAGCAGTAGTCTGTTCGCGGGTGGGAGATGTCTACGATGAATTTGTCTTGATGAATTTCCAGTTCGGTCAACAAGGAGAAAGCTGATAACTTCTACAGCTAGCTGCTTGCAAGTGACAGTCTCTTCTTCGGTGCGTTGCGAGCAACTGCTGCGGGACAGTGCCGACGTGTTAGCGCCACCTGGTGGACAGTGTCGGAACAGCGTGCGGAATCTCCACAAAATCTGAACCTTTCTGCTGCTAAAAGGAACTGTATGGACACTTTTTCTTCAGAATTGTTGTAAATGAAGGAGACTCGAGAATTTGTTTGGAATATGTAAGTAAGGAAAAACATCTGGGTTTTCTGGTGTAGTGAGCTCATATGTTTCCTGCATGTTTGTTTGTGGATGGATGTGCTAATGTTTTGCAGAAACTGTTGAGTAAAAGACCTTTTATTTGAGAACTTTCACCTAAAGGTTTTTGGAGTTCATCAGAATGATTTTAATATCTGCTTCAGGGATAAATTTTAAAAATATGTCTTTCTGTTACAGATGAGCACATACAGCCAGGTTCCAACATTCACAACGAGTGACTTATGTTTATAACTTTTTCTGTTTCCCATAGGTCTGACAGATGTTTGTGTCGAGTATGTGATAATTATCTATTCTTCTGTCTACGGTTTATGCTTTTCTTTAAATATTCTACATCAAAACACATTTTAAAACCACTAAAGAGATTGGGATTTCTGAAAAAATGCAGAGTTAATGCTGACTGCCGAGTGACTTGGCTAAAAACCTGATTTATTAAAATCGTAAACCCCCAAATTTTAGCAAAATGAAGTAGAAGGGTAAAAAGAACAAAATACCAGCTAAAAACCAAAATTATCAAAACACCAGGTAAAACAAAGTACAAAGCTTTAGATTTAAAATCTAAATATAACAAAGGGTAGGGAAATCAGTAAAAGGATAAGATAAAACTTTATTGTCTTAGCTAAAAAGCTAAAAGTAGATAAAGCTAAAGGTAAAAGAAGCAGAATGGCAGGCAAACACTGAAATAAGCTTAATAAGATAAAAATAGAGAAAATATGCTGAAGGAAATTTCCAAGAGAACATTTCTAGAAAAATTGAAGCGATCTCACGGTATTTCAATAGAGAAAGTACTTGTAAAGTAAAATATATTATTATTTTATTAATATAAAACATTTTTTTTTTTAAAGAATAAACATCAAAACGTGATAACGCTTATCTCCTGAATGAGTTGTTGTGATATACAAATTAATAAAATTGCACAAAGTCTGCAGAAGTCAGATTGCAAAAAAACATACCCAAAAATAAGAAACAAGAAAACAACGGAGTGAATGCTGAGTTAAACATCATATGATGCATAATTTATATGATAAGTTTATTAGATAATTTGAATATTAACACATGTTCAGCACTTGAACATAATAAGCTCAGTTTCACAGATTGATTTAAGTGTCAGCATATGGAAAAAAGTATTTGTTTATGAAAAAGTTGCATGAACTGATTCTTTCAACAGTTCACATTAAATGCAAACGCATATTTGTGCTTTTATTATAACCTTAAATTAATAAAAAACACGATGAATGTTTGAGCACTTCCCTTTTACATCACCTGACATCATTTCTCACAGTTTAATTAAAGGATCATTTGAGTCTCTCTTCATCAACCAGGTGTAGTTATGCGGGCCGCGGCCTGCTTCATCACGTCTCGAGCGTGAGCGTAGCGCTTCACAATCTGGCGCACATGCTCCTCTTCCTCACGCTGCAAAATCCGCAGAAAGTTGCTTAACTCAGGAAGGCTAAAAGCATCCCACTGGAAAAATTAAAATACAAAAACGGTTTATTTAAAAGCAGACAATGGTGAAGTAGGCTATGTGTATTTTTTATTGTTCTTTTCAGTGTCTAGTTACAGATTTTTTCCACAGTTTAAGATGAGAACTTACATTTACTTCCCCCGTCTCGTTCTCTTTCAAAACCAGGCTCAAGACTATTTCACTGGGGCCAGCACACAGGCGTAAAAACAGAGGGCGCTCATCCTCAGACAGCTTACGCATGCAGACTTAAGAGAAAACACATCAGAGCTTTAGAACCAAATGCATTGCTCTGTTGTGTTTTCATAATCTGAATAATCCCACCTTGGCTCTGCTTCTCTGTGCGTTCAAACAAGGCAAACTTTGCTGGGTTGTCCACCACAGTGAACTTCCTGAGCAACGCCTCGATGACTTCCCTCACTCGTGTTTCTGAGCTGATGTGCAGGTGCTTCGCAGCATCTTTGGGGAGGTAGAAAGATGTCCGCCTTAGAGTTCGTCGGTCCCGCTCATCTCCCTCTTCTGTGGAGTTCTGGCGCTGAGGAGGAGGGAGGGAGATGGGTCGAAGGAGCTGGAAGTGGACCTTGATGAAACCAGTGTAGGACCCATTTTTGTTCTGCAAATTTCCAAAGTCAAAACAGGAGCTGAAAGGCTGCACAGCGTTTTAATGAAATCTACAAGATAAAATGCAGCTTTGGGAACAGGTCCTGGCACAAAAAGGATATTATCAACTGTCACTCACAACCACCATGCAGAGATTATTGTTAATCTGAGAGTTGTACTCCTTCACCCTTTGCTGGATCTCGCCAACACTCAGTTCCTGTTTACCCAGTTCAGTCTGTTCATCCTGAATAAAAGGAGTACACGCAAAGAGCAAAGAACAGGGGGCATAAATCAAATGATCAGGTCTCTCTTGTAAATGAGTCCCAGAGGCTCAATAGGATTAACCTGTATAAATAAAGGTTTAATGAATGAATAAAGCTTTAAAGAGATAATTCAGATATTTTGAAATGAGGTTCTGTGCTAAATGTTATAAATGACAGACACCATCTCTGAGCAGACTGAGCTAACAGTTAGTCTGAGCAAGCCAAGGCTTAAATATTTCTCTTCCGTCTTAACTCCATTCTCAAAAGAATATACCATATTTTTCAGACTATAAGGAATTTAAAATCCTTTTAATTTTCTCAAAAATCAACAGTGAGCCTTATCAGGTGCATTATGTATTAATTCTGGTTGTGCTTACTGATCTCAAACTGATTTGATGTTATTGTGAATGAGTTGAATAAAGTTTGACTTATCTGGCTGCTTTGTTTTGCTTAATCTGGTTTATAATCCAGTACGCCTTAAATACAGCATACTTGTGAGCACAGCTGTTGAAATCATTACATAATTGTCACTTTTGCGCTACATTGCAACAGTACTGCAAGTTCAAGCACAGCTGCTGCTGCGACTTACACTTCCAAAAAAAAAAAAAATCACATAATGTATTTCAAACAACAGTGTGGTACAAAGTAATAGCGATGTAAAGATTATTAATTTATTTTTATTTTTTTTTTAGATTTTTTTTAATATAAAACTGAAGTAATTGACGTTGGTCTTTGGTCAGCTTAGCTTGTCATTTTAATTATAACTAGAGAAAATGCATTTCCTGTGAAAACGCAGCGTGAATGCTGATTGGTGAATAACTACTTGAAAGTGACATCATCTGTCCTTTTGTCTATTTCCTTGTGTTTGACTCTGTCCCTTTGTGTGATTCCATCATGTGGTCTGTCCCAGCTATTGCTCCCTCATGTAATCAAGTCCCTGCCTCCTACACCTGTTGTCTGTCCCAGGTGTTTTCACTCTCGTCAGTGTCTGTGAATAAAAGTCTGCGTCTCCTATTCTTTGTTATCTGGGCATTGTCTCATGAAGGCTCTTTGGTCCTGTTCTGCACTACATCTTGGTTTGATCTCCCTTTGTGTCCTCTCATGGTTCATGTAAATTGCTGGCACGTCAGCCCTTTTGTTGATTTTCATTAAATAACTTTGACTTTAAACCCGAGTCCTGCTTGCATTTTGGAAATCGCCACAAGATCGCTATAGAAAGCGGCTTAAAACGCTTGAGTTTGCTTGAAACTCATCAAAAAAAAAAAAATAATAATAATTTGAAAGAAGAAGCTGCAAACACAAAAAGCAAAATAATACTTAACATATCTTGATGCATGATCAATAATCCAGGTAGAAAAATCTAACAAAGTTAAGTCAGGTCCACTGGACAGATTCTGCAGAATCTATCCAGAGGAATAGTTTAATGGAAAAGCAAACAAATAAATAATGTTCTCTTGAAGTTCTACAACATTTTCCCCATAAGAGCTGTTTTGATCCACTCAACCTAGTCATTTGCTCATCAGTCCAGTCAGAACTAAAATTTCATTTATCCAAAGAGATATTTACAATAAATAAGTGATGAGCTCTTAATAACCTTTCACAGAGCCCCCACTTCAAAAGATCTGAACTATCTTTTTAATGCACTGGAGCAAACTTGCATGCTTTTTTCTCCAGTAAATAGATAGTTTATGAAATCAGTAAAACAAATCAGCATGACATATCGTTGTTTTTAATGACAATTTGCAGCTTTAAAAACATTTTTTTAATTTTTTTACCACATTTGTGTCGGTCTCAATGGCGTCTTCGGCGTCATCTGCCTTCTGTGTGGACACACCTCCGTGTATGCTGCAGTCCAGCTGGATGAGCGGTCGGCAGCGGTAGTGACATGTGTAACTGCAGTCTGAAAGGAAGAAACGAAACAGAGTTTACAACCTCTACTTTGTTTTGAGGTTTAGTTTCCTCAGAGGATTGTTCCTCACCATGAGGAGTAACAGCACGATTGAAGGTAATAGTTTGAAGTGAAGTTATAAAACACAGAACTTCTCAGACTCTATTTGTATTTTAAAAAATCTGAGCTGGAACATAATATCCATCCATCTTTTACAGCTTTTCTAGCATGATTCCAAGGTGTCCCCAGCCCAGCAAAGATACCTTTCGTTATTAACCTTTATTAAAATAAGCAAATCACATTGAGATAACAGATCCCTTTTGCAAGGCAGGCCTGAGCCTGAAGGCAGATTAACATGCATGTTTTTGATTTGTGGGAGGAAACCGGAGTACCCGGAAAAAACCCCACGCAAACACGAGAAGAACATGCAAACTCCATACAGAAAGACCCCAGGTCCAACCGGGGATTGAAAGCAGGACCTTCTTGCTGTGAGGCAACAGTGCTAACCACTGAGCCATCGTGCTGCCAACATAGTTTCTCCAGCGTGTTCTGGGTTTTGCCTGTGGTTTCCGTCTCCGTTGGAGATGCCTGGACCACCTCCCTAAGGAGGCATCAATCCTTATCAGAGGCCTGGACCATCTCACCTGGCTTTTTTTGGTGTGGGGGAGTGGCGGCTCTACTCCGAGTCTCTCCTGGAGAAACTGGTCCAGTTGACACGATTTAACTGTTTTTGCTAAACGTCTCACCTTATCTCTAAGGGAGAGTCCAGCTACCCTGCAGATAAAACTCATTTGGACCACCTGCATCACAGGCTGTTGAAGAGCTGTGTCAGCTCTCTCAAAACAAGGAGCTGATATCCTTTTATCAACTTTGTGTTTGCCAGAGTTTCTGACTAACAGTGTAAAGAAGTCAAAATAACTACGAGGAGAAATCCTGCTGGAATCTGCAAATTAAAACCTGACCTTGACATCTAAATGAAAGGCTAAGTCAAATTTAATTTGACCAATAAGTACGTAGTTTTTACAAGGTTGTAAAAATGGTTTCCTTGAGTTTGCCTTGATAATACTTTTGTTAAGCAACTTTTAAAACAAACCAGGCAATATTGTCGAAACCTAACACATACTAAAAGGACAAACTTCTGCCGCATATCAATTATCACTTATCTTCACTTTGCAACAGAAAACAAAACAAGTGAAATCAGAGTCCTCTTTCTTTTAGCTCATGGCATCAAACTGTTTAGTCTTTTACTAATTCCTAAATTCCTAATCAGCAAATACCTTTGTTTCAATAACTATTATGAATTAATTACAGCAGTTCTATCTATCTATCTATCTATCTATCTATCTATCTATCTATCTATCTATCTATCTATCTATCTATCTATCTATCTATCTATCTATCTATCTATCTATCTATCTATCTATCTATCTATCTATCTATCTATCTATCCATCCATCCATCCATCCATCCATCCATCCATCCATCCATCCATCCATCCATCCATCCATCCATCCCTCC